ATCTAGTTAAAATCAATCCAACTAAATCTGAAGCAGTTTTATATAATGCAAAAGGCTCAAACATAACAACACTGCAATTCGAAGACGATGACATCAATATAACCAATGAAACCAAACATCTAGGTATCAAAAGAAACGAGCAAAACCGGGCAAATATCTCTGAAAGAATAAGAACCGGCAGGGCAACAATATACAGCCTTCTCGGAGCCGGTTTACATGTCAGAAGGGGATTCTCACCCATGGTCGCATACAAGCTATGGAGAACATATGCAGTACCAAGAAGCATCTACGGACTTGAGGTGATGAACTTACTTGCAAAAGAAAAGGATATGCTAGAACTGGCAGAGAGAAAAATCCTCCGACAAATTCAAGGGCTTCCAAATAATACAGCAAATATGGCTGTCTATACCCTGGTAGGAGCAGAACCTATTGCCATCACATTAGACAAAAATCTACTTACCTTCTTCATGAATATTGTTCGAAATTCAGGAACCATAGAATGTGAAATTCTGCGTCGACAAATAGCATTCTCAGACCAAAGAGGAAAAGACTTTATCAACAGAGTGGAAAAAACTATCAAAATACAATTTGAAATCTAGTAGTTACTACATAGAAAAACCACTTAAGAAAATCGAATGGAAAAGACTAGTAGGAATAAAGATCAAGGAATACTGGAAAAATGAATGTCACTATGAAAAAATGGAAAAAACATCACTTAAATACATAGAGATACAGAACAATCCATTAAATAAAGCACACAATATATGGAAAAGCGTAAAAAACAATAGTAAAGATGTAAAGGCAGGAGAAATAAAAGCAAGAATAAGTACTCAAACGTACATATTACAAGCCAAAAGAGCTAAGTTCGATCCGAAAGTTAACCCGATATGTACAATCTGTGAACAGGAAAATGAAGATCTGGAACATTTTATTCTACGCTGCAAAGAATTGGAGCAAATAAGATCTAAATATTGCTCAAAAATAGAACAGACAATGGATGAAATCGATACCTCAACATACAAGAAGATCATACAAGAAGGGAATTTACTGCAGCTCATAATGGACTGTACTAGCAAGGACATAAACTGTTACTCAACTGTGTATGAAAGCATTGAAACTCTGGCTAGAAATATGTGCTACGAGATGCACATGCTGCGCACAAAAAGGATTAAAAACTTGAACACAAGTACAGTATAAGTAAACTTTTTTAAAATAAAATAGTTCCCTACTTTACCATCTTACTTTTTTATGACGTATTAGGACCTAAATTAAATAAAAAATTTTGCAAAGTTTTAAGATATCCAGTTACCTTTAAAGAATAATGATAAGATCCGAAATAAGGTAACTTTAAACTGTGAAGGTAAACTTATGTATATATGATGAATTGTTCTAAACCCCAACCCTTTTACATAAGTCCTATAAAATAACCTTCTCATTATAAATTCTGATGTACGTATAGCACCCTTAAGGTAGATAGGGTGTCTTCCTCCATCTTTGATTTTGTAATACCTGAAAACAATCGGTCTAGATCTTTAATAGAATGTGCAAATTTTGAGAGTAGTAGGTAATTCATGTGTAAGAATTGATGTCATAAACGTATTGATCCCATAAACGTATTGATGTCATAAACGTATTGATCCCATAAACGTATTGATCCCATAAACGTATTGATGTCATAAACGTATTGATCCCATAAACGTATTGATGTCATAAACGTATTGATCCCATAAACGTATTGATCCCATAAACGTATTGATGTCATAAACGTATTGATCCCATAAACGTATTGATCCCATAAACGTATTGATGTCATAAACGTATTCATCCCATAAACGTATTGATGTCATAAACGTATTGATCCCATAAACGTATTGATGTCATAAACGTATTGATCCCATAAACGTATTGATGTCATAAACGTATTGATCCCATAAACGTATTGATCCCATAAACGTATTGATGTCATAAACGTATTGATGTCATAAACGTATTGATCCCATAAACGTATTGATGTCATAAACGTATTGATCCCATAAACGTATTGATGTCATAAACGTATTGATCCCATAAACGTATTGATGTCATAAACGTATTGATCCCATAAACGTATTGATGTCATAAACGTATTGATCCCATAAACGTATTGATCCCATAAACGTATTGATGTCATAAACGTATTGATCCCATAACCGTATTGATGTCATAAACGTATTGTATTGATGTCATAAACGTATTGATCCCATAAACGTATTGATGTCATAAACGTATTGATGTCATAAACGTATTGATGTCATAAACGTATTGATCCCATAAACGTATTGATGTCATAAACGTATTGATCCCATAAACGTATTGATCCCATAAACGTATTGATCCCATAAACGTATTGATGTCATAAACGTATTGATGTCATAAACGTATTGATGCCATAAACGTATTGATGTCATAAACGGATTGATGTCATAAACGTATTGATCCCATAAACGTATTGATCCCATAAACGTATTGATGTCATAAACGTATTGATGTCATAAACGTATTGATCCCATAAACGTATTGATGTCATAAACGTATTGATCCCATAAACGTATTGATGTCATAAACGTATTGATCCCATAAACGTATTGATCCCATAAACGTATTGATGTCATAAACGTATTGATGTCATAAACGTATTGATCCCATAAACGTATTGATGTCATAAACGTATTGATCCCATAAACGTATTGATGTCATAAACGTATTGATCCCATAAACGTATTGATGTCATAAACGTATTGATCCCATAAACGTATTGATGTCATAAACGTATTGATCCCATAAACGTATTGATCCCATAAACGTATTGATGTCATAAACGTATTGATCCCATAAACGTATTGATGTCATAAACGTATTGTATTGATGTCATAAACGTATTGATCCCATAAACGTATTGATGTCATAAACGTATTGATCCCATCAACGTATTGATGTCATAAACGTATTGATCCCATAAACGTATTGATGTCATAAACGTATTGATCCCATAAACGTATTGATCCCATAAACGTATTGATCCCATAAACGTATTGATCCCATAAACGTATTGATGTCATAAACGTATTCATCCCATAAACGTATTGATCCCATAAACGTATTGATGTCATAAACGTATTGATGTCATAAACGTATTGATCCCATAAACGTATTGATGTCATAAACGTATTGATCCCATAAACGTATTGATCCCATAAACGTATTGATGTCATAAACGTATTGATCCCATAAACGTATTGATGTCATAAACGTATTGATCCCATAAACGTATTGATCCCATAAACGTATTGATGTCATAAACGTATTGATCCCATAAACGTATTGATGTCATAAACGTATTGATCCCATAAACGTATTGATGTCATAAACGTATTGATCCCATAAACGTATTGATCCCATAAACGTATTGATGTCATAAACGTATTGATCCCATAAACGTATTGATGTCATAACGTATTGATCCCATAAACGTATTGATGTCATAAACGTATTGATGTCATAAACGTATTTATCCCATAAACGTATTGATCCCATAAACGTATTGATGTCATAAACGTATTGATCCCATAAACGTATTGATGTCATAAACGTATTGATCCCATAAACGTATTGATGTCATAAACGTATTGATGTCATAAACGTATTGATCCCATAAACGTATTGATCCCATTGATCCCATAAACGTATTGATCCCATAAACGTATTGATGTCATAAACGTATTGATGTCATAAACGTATTGATCCCATAAACGTATTGATGTCATAAACGTATTGATCCAATAAACTTATTGATCCCATAAACGTATTGATGTCATAAACGCATTGATCCCATAAACGTATTGATGTCATAAACGTATTGATCCCATACACGTATTGATCCCATAAACGTATTGATGTCATAAACGTATTGATCCCATAAACGTATTGATGTCATAAACGTATTGATCCCATAAACGTATTGATGTCATAAACGTATTGATCCCATAAACGTATTGATCCCATAAACGTATTGATGTCATAAACGTATTGATGTCATAAACGTATTGATCCCATAAACGGATTGATGTCATAAACGTATTGATGTCATAAACGTATTGATGTCATAAACGTATTGATCCCATAAACGTATTGATGTCATAAACGTATTGATCCCATAAACGTATTGATGTCATAAACGTATTGATCCCATAAACGTATTGATGTCATAAACGTATTGATCCCATAAACGTATTGATCCCATAAACGTATTGATGTCATAAACGTATTGATCCCATAAACGTATTGATGTCATAAACGTATTGATGTCATAAACGTATTGATCCCATAAACGTATTGATGTCATAAACGTATTGATCCCATAAACGTATTGATGTCATAAACGTATTGATCCCATAAACGTATTGATCCCATAAACGTATTGATGTCATAAACGTATTGATGTCATAAACGTATTGATGTCATAAACGTATTGATTCCATAAACGTATTGATGTCATAAACGTAACTATTGGTGCAGATGCCAATCAAGGATTCTGAAAAAGGGGGACCCGCAGGCCCCAAAACTAGACAAAATTTGAGGTGGTATAGGTGAAAAGTCTGGATTAACCATAAATGTAGCTCAATAAGTTTCGATCCGTCTCTGTGGTGTCATAAAACTATTGAAGTCATACAACTATTGAAAGTATTGAACTAATGATGTCATCATAGTATAACAATCAAGGGTCGCTACATCTTCCATTCTTCGCTACCTTTTTTTTTATTGGGATTCTTTTCGACTATTCAATTACCTGTTTGATCAGGATGCCAGATTACTCAGGAAAAAATGAAAAAATATCTGATTCCAATTATTTATTTTGTTGTAAGCAAAGATTTGTATAGTAATCCTAATGTCAAGTTTCATTTGTTTTCCGGAAAATGAAATTTATCCGGATGCAACCAGGATTGTATTTGTGAAATCCAAACTTCCGGTTTCTCTGACACGACAACATTTTTGTTTACTTCGATTTTTTGTTTACTAATAATGCTGAAAGCAATCATCTTGATCGGTGGTCCTATCAAAGGTAAAATGTTATAAACATGTCCATAGCAGTTGTCTTAAAAGAGGGACGAAAGATACCAGAGGGACAGTCAAACTCATAGATTTGTTTTTATCCTGTTTTTAACCTGTTTTTAATCATGCGCTACTTGCCAGAATATTCATCATGTTGATTGTGGGCAGTATTTGGAAGAAGAAGAAAAAGATCGAAAACAAACTGACAACGCCATGGCCAAAAATAAAAAGACAAACAGACAAATAATAGTACAGATGACACAACATAGAAAACTAAAGACTAAGCAACAGGAACCCCACCAAAAACTGGGGGTGATCTCAGTTGCTCCGGAAGGGTAAGCAGATCCTGCTCCACATGTGGCATGTGTCTTAACTTGTATGTTTATAAAGTTGTCTTTGAACATATTGAACTTTGGTGGATCTTTGTCTCATAATTTGGCAATCATATACACCACTACTGGCACTAGTCCAAATGTTATTTTTTTTTCTTATACATAAAAATACTTCACTACCGTACACCTTTAACCCTTTGGGGATAGTCTTTTTTCGCTATATGTGAATCTGCGACATGACGACAGGCCAGGGAAAAAAACTTAACAGTCGCCCATGGCGACCAGAAATTGACCTGGGCGATCTTTTTATTCAGTTGTGGTAGCCCAGGTGGCGAATTGAAAACAAAGTACTTGACAGACAGAAATCCGCTGTTTACCATGGCTCCAAGTGCCGGCTACTATACTGACAAAAATATAAATTCAAAAAGAAAAAAAAAATCTTTTTAAAATGTATACAGGCAAGTGTAGAGAGTCGTATTGTCGCAAAGTTGCAGTCCCGATAAACAAGGATGTAAAATCAGTGTTTACCTTTGACTAAATATAAATCAAATCAAATCAAAATATTTTATTGTCTTATAAACTTTACAGTTTGTGACCAACATGTATTAACACAATAAACATATATACATACATATCAAACAAACACAATAAAAACAGCATCAAAATTTATAAAAACAAACAAGTTGTTAAGAGTCCCTTGCCCTCAGTTCTAATGACTTTTTCAAGAAGGATCCTAACTTATTTGTTTGTAAAGGCGTTGATGGATTTAGTAAATAATGAATTTTTTCTTCTTCATTTAAATTATTAAAGTTATTATTTTCAGTACATATGTGTTCAAAAAAGGCATTTCTTAGTGTTTTATTATAATCACAATAGAGTAAAAAATGTTTCTCATCCTCTAGTATTTTACATTTATGACAAAGTCGTTCCTCTCTTGGGATTTTAAAATATCTCCCCTTTTCAATTAAGAGGGAGTGATCACTATATAGTTCAAGTTAATTCAGGTCACTGATTGGTCGTCTATTTAAAGTCCGGAAAGTATCGTATGTTTGCAAGGATAACAAGAGAGACGTTCTGATGGTCATTTACAATATGAAGCGATCAAATACCCTGTTCGGTTTTGGCTTCAAGAAAGCGAAGAAATTCAGAGAAGATGACAATAGCATGTTATGAAATAATATCAGTGAAATAAAAGAACGTATAATATATAATAATGTTAAGAATCTGGAAAACAGTACCTTTTGTAGTTCCCTTTTCAAAGCCCACGTGGTGTCCAGAGAATGAAGGTCAAAAACGAAAGTAGAATATTGTCGACCACAAATAGATAAAATTAGTTCAAAATGATTTTAGTTTCCTACTTACTGAACAGTTTACAAAAAAGAGAAAATCAGAGGAGATATCAATTTTATGACAATGCTTTTGAAATACGTGTACTGTACAAGTCTTTTGAGAAAAAAGGGGGGTCATTTGTTTACAAATGTACGTAGTTACGCAAAATAAATCGATCAAGATATTTAATAAATTAGATTATTAAAGAAATAAAATTAAATATTTCATCGATCATCTACATGTATTTAAGGACAGAGAATTCTTTAGTTGTCTTAAAAAGATATTAAAAAAAAAACTGGTACACAGGGTACAATGGGGTATGAAGATCCCCATTTGGTAAATGATTTTTTTTTAATTAAATTTGATTGAAGTCAACAACAAAAATAAGACAAAATTTACATTTTCCCAAGCATCTAAATCACCGCCAGGTATGCTCAGAATGCAGGGTTTTGAGTCTAAAATTTCAAAATTTTCTTGGGGGGGCATACCCCCAAACCCCCCTAGCAAGTTCGGCCCGCTTTATTGGCTTCACCGGTGATACTCATAGTGAAATAAAGTGGGCTACTAACTTTTTGTCTGGGCTAACTGATTTTCAAGTCTAGTAGCCCAGCTGGCTACTGGCCTGACAAAGTTAAGTTTCACCCCTGCAGGCACTTATTTCATGTGAGGGTATGCGTTTGTTTTTTCTACATTGGCTAGAGGTATAGGGGGAGGGTTGAGATCTCAAAAAACATGTTTAACCCCGTCGCATTTTTGCGCCTGTCCCAAGTCAGGAGCCTCTGGCCTTTGTTAGTCTTGTATCATTTTTTAATTTTAGGTTCCTGTGTATAATTTGGAGTTTAGTATGACGTCCATTATCACTGAACTAGTATACATATTTGTTTGTTCTCGCTGCATTGAAGACCCATTGGTGGCCTTCGGCTGTAGTCTGCGTATTAGTCGGGTTGTTGTCTCTTTGACACATTCCCGATTTACATTCTCAATTTTATAAAGGCCGCTATCATTTTAGAATGAGGGAGGGGACTTTTACCATTGCATGAAACAAGTGCCTATGCATTTGTGACTTAACCCAATAATTTGTGACACTTGAACTTAGTGTTTCCTGCAGCTTTTGAAAAGGGCAGGGTAATTTTTTTCTCAGAGGGCACTCTTAGCGCGATTGGCTATATTTTAAGGGCACCCTTTGCGCGGAGGACTACACTTTTAGGGCACTCTTTACATAGATATAAAGGCACTGTAATGGATAGGGATTTAATCGAATATACTATCATGACTATTGTTTCATATTTATTGGTAAGAAAGAAAGATATGAATATTACTTTTAGGTTGTTAATTTACATTGTAATTCCTTTTGTTACTGAAATTATCACTTCTAGACTCAGCTAATAGAATCTTGATCATGTTCATTGTGCAACTGCCTCATTTCAATCAATAACTCTAGTTATAAACTTTAATACTGGATCACTGAGACTGATTGTCTAAGGATGTGTTGTGAAAGTGGACTTTGCATGACCAAGAGCATATGCAATGCATTGCTATTTAGATGCACAAAAGAAGTGCTGAATACCTTTTGGATCTCGCATGTTTATACCAATCAAAGCTACCTTGGCTCATAACTGTACAAATAGATTTAGGATATTCAAAGATTTGTATAGCAAGACTTACTATACATATTCTTCTGCTTTTCATCTTTTTTCCATCTGTGTTTTTTTGTGTTTTTTTTTTTATTGAAATGTTGTTGATTTTTCGTACTATTCAAAACTACATTCATAACTTTTATTTTATTAAGATAACAACAGTATGAAAGCCGTCGTAAATGTCGTTAACTCACATCCAAATTCTGACGTCTTGACCGACCGAATATTATAAATACAAAATATAAATAAACATCGGATTGTTTATGTAATCAGCGGTAATTTTCATCCCATGTATCGTAAAATTTTAACTTAAACAATGGCCTGGTTCCCTTTTAAATTCGTAGAGGTGCAAATGGATGTTGTCCCTATTAGATTTAATCATGAATTGTATTTGTACTCTGTCGCTTCAAATCTGTTCAAACATAATTACGAAATTCAATAAAATGTCAGCCATTAAAATTTTGATTTCGTTCCAAGGGAAATAACTCGAAATGGTCTTGCTAAAAGATGACTTGCAGAACCAATATTAAATTACGGCGGGGCGTTCTAAAATACAATGGAAAAAGGGCATGGCACCAAATTGTTTTCCTAAAAAGGGCAGGGCGTCAAGAAAACACGGCAGGGCGCCATACCACGCCAAAACCTCCTGTAGGAAACACGGCAGGGCGCCATACCATGCCAAAACCTCCTGTAGGAAACAAGGCAGGGCGCCATACCATGCCAAAACCTCCTGTAGGAAACACTAGAACTATTGATGTCATAAAACAATCACTTTTCCTTTGTGGTGTGACAGGATTGCTTGCCTTGTATAGAATGTATAGTAGATACTTGACCAGCTGTAAGCAGTTGAGTTAAGAAGTCCTTCTTCAGCTCAATCAATTAGAGTGCTGACTTGAGTTGGCAGCTAGATCAGAAAAACTGTCCATGTCTGTGAATCTCCAAAGGGTTTGAACCACTACCACTGACTTCTAACATAATTTATTTTCTGTATCAAAATCAAATGGATGCATGCTTTAATTTCATGAATTTTGATATAAAATAAACATGATAAAAACTATATTTTTTAAAGATTTTAAATGTTATAAACTGTCCAGACCATGCAGACAGAAGACAATTGACAGGAAATGTAAAAATATTAAAAAGAAACAAACACACAATGACCTGTACATGTAATTAATGAGCTTGTGTAATTGGGTTAATTCATATATATCTTTATGCAACTTTAAAAACAACAGAGCTTGTAGCAAGCCACATCAATAAATAATCTTAGAACTAAAGCATACATCAACAACATATGATTTAATTTATTAGGCGTCTCTTTTTATTCTGGAATCAAAGGCAAAACAAATAATGAATTGCCATCATTGGGTACAGCTGTTAAGTCATTAATTATTGTTGTCATTGTTGATTCACACCTCTTCTTTTATCTAAACTTCAATTTCCCGTTTTGAATATTATATGAGGTTATGGATGATTATAATTAATCTTTGCTAATTACGTAAACTATAATCTTGAAAATGTATATATGCAAACAATGGCTAGATAATTTCAGAAAGATTGATTGATTGGTGTTAAATACCACTTTCAGCACTATTGTGCTATTTCGTGGTGGTCAGTTTTTATTAGCGGAGAAAGCTGAAGTGCCTGGAGAGAACCACTGAGTCGACCTTCGGTAGGAAATCTGATAATTCTAGACAATTAAGATAGGAATCAAGGGCACCTGCCACACGTGGGAGTTGACCTCACAACCTCAGTGTTGACACGCTAGTGATACAATAGTCAGACTACTTTGACCACAGATGCCCCTAGTTCAGAAAGATTAAACTTTTAGAATATTAAAACACATTTAAAAAAAAATTAAACCGTTTTAAACTAACAAAAACTTAAATTTGGATAATTGTACATAAAGAATAAATGAAGAAGGGAAGAGGGAAACAACACAATTTTGAGGCAAAACATTATGCTGATGAAAAAGTGAATCAGGCCTTCAACAATGAGCAAACCCCATACCACATAGCAAGCTTTGTTCAAGTACTTTGTTGATTAACACATTAGGATAAGAATTGTACAAGATACAAGAACAGTATTAAGATTGTAAATTTAATAGTAACATGCATTTATTTGCTTTATTAAGGTACCAGATTCAGACCTTTATCACTGGAGTTGGCCAAGCCCTTGTTTCCTGTAGCGGGCTTTCCTGTTATTTATCATCACATAGAAGCCTGTAGTAAGGTGAGTCAGTCCTAATGTACTATGATCATGATGATTGACCACACATGATTGCTAACAAAAAGTAACAAGTGCAGGAGAGTAGGATACATGTATATTCAGTAAAGTTGAGTAAACTTCGTAGAATGCCTTAAATGGCCCTTTTATCACTCAAACTGTTAGCTTTACTTGATTAGACTTTGGGAGAATGAAACTTGTATGACTTTAAAGCACTACATGTATCATCTGGTTTCGCTTCATGTGAATAAATCAACCTTTCCAAACTTTTGTCTCCTAGTTTTCAATGAAGTCATTCCCAAATTTTTTGCATTTTCATAGGCATGATAGGTTTTCGCTTTGTTGTAATTATTCTGAACAATGCTGAAAGCACTATTTTTATGCCCGGCCTAGCCTACATGTATGATAGAAGAATGAGACAATTCTCCACAAGTGACCAAATGACACAGAAATTAACAACTAAAGGTCACTGTACAGCCTTCAACAATGAGTAAAAGCCATACCGCATAGTCAGCTATAAAGAGCCCCGAAATGACAATATAAAACAATTCAAACGAGAAAACTAACGGCCTGATTTATGTACAAAATAATGAACAAAAACAAATATGATATACAGCAAGAAACAACAACCACTGAATTACAGGCTCCTGACTTTGGGACAGGCACAAACAGAATGTATCGGGTTAAACTACATATAGTTTGACCACGCCAACCCTCCCCTAACCTAGGACAGTGGTGTAACAGTACAACATAAGAACAAACTATAAAAATCAGTTGAAAAGGGCTTAACTCATCAGAAGGATACAAATCAGAAAGCCATCTAACAAAAATACAGAGTGGATCCCCACAACAAAAAGACACTAAGTACAGATCTGAGAGTAATAATACTCACAGTTACTGACTGCTAGTTCAAAGCCAATACCAAGTTGTAAACAAAAATCATGTATCTAAGACTAAAACAGTTTATTCTACCTATGTCTTAATTTCGTTTCCAGGTACCAGACATAAAGGAGGTTATATTAATTGGATTTTTCCAGCCTAACGATGCCCTTACAAGATTTATTAATTCAGCACAGATGGAATTTAAAATTCAAATCAGGTTTAATGCTGTTTCCATAGTTTTTAATATAAAATTCCAGAAATAACAACATTCAAAACATAAGCTTAGGAAAAATATGCTTATTATTACTTAATCAAGATCACTAAACCTAACATCAAATCAAAATTGTCTGATTATAATAATAATAATAATAAAGTTTTATTTAAAGATGATAAATACTTTGAGTTACAACAGCTTATCTTCCCTGTATCATGTAATAAAAGATGATATAATATATCATGAGTATAGCAAAAACAGTTAGCAGCATACCAATGTCACATTATAAAACACTTAGGGTCATCATTATGAAACACTTTATAAAACACTTAGGGTCATTGTTTCGAAACACTTAATAAAACACTTAGGGTCATTGATAGGAAAAAGATATTAGCATGTTACTTTAATTTGTTTTTTTCAACATAATGACTTTGTAGAATTTGAACTGTACATGTGATGCAAGGCCTTGAAAAATGTTTATATAATTTAACACAATTTTGTGTCAGTCACTTTCATTGGTGGTGGTAAAAGCAATGAACTTTGAACTGTTACAGTAACTGGCAAGCTCTCATCACATGTTCAATTTTAAATGAAAGATTTATAAAACGCATGTTCATGTATATTGCTTTAAAAAAAATATAAATGTTTAAATACAATATCAAAGCAGAAGAGGGACGACACTCTGCACATGGCACACAGATTTGTCTTATATTATCAATCGGTCGCAGTGATAACAATGGATAATGTGTCATTTATTACAAGCAGTTCGTGGCATGAACATCACCTGGACACCCAAAATTTGCTGACTGAGATTATAAATATAATCATTTAATTTTTTATACACAGTTGTAACGGTTATACAATATACATTCATGTACACATAATAAACTAATTTGGTAATTGTCATTATTTGTCGGGAATATACATACTTATCGTACTTATCCCGTATTAAACTGCTTATTCCCCAAGGCTTATTTCATACGGCATGGACATTAAAAGAATTCATTTGACTGATTTTAAGCTTTTATTTGGGACTAAATTTTATAAATATTGTACTCATTCTACATTTATCTGTACAAAAAATAAAAAAAACAAACAAACGAGAAAACACAATAGAGAACGAAGCCGACCAATACCCCAATTATACACAATTTTAAAAAGCTATTTTATTACATGGTTTTTCGGATGAAACATTTTCACATTATCTTGAATATAATCAAATTACACAAAAAGAGTAGTTTTTATGCCTAAGGGTTATGTATTTACGCATTTACTCATGTATTTGACAAATATATTTGGACATTTTATTTGAAAATCATCGTTTTTTAGCATCATACTATGCAACAAAGGATGGAGACTTAAGGAGACCTTTCATGTGTTAGGTCGTATGAACAATATTCCTTATCTGTTATTAATTTCATTGATTTCTACTGGCAAACTAACGAAATATTATCAAAAATTTGTGCCTTGTTTTTTTATAAACATCAAATAAAATCCACTCCATTACGGAATATAATCTTCAAAGATACAATTTACCAAAAAGAAGTAAAAAATACATTTAATTTTTTATGTAAAAGTGATTTTTGATCATCAATAATTCTATCTATGTGAAAACTTGATATATTTTCCATGAATGCAGTAGAGTACATTTGATTTTAAAACACATACAAATTGATCTTTTACAATATTCAAAATTGCTGAACGGAAGATAGAATCGTACCAACGTACTACCACGTGACAAGAAAAATTTTGCACACAACACCTAGATTGTCGTCCCTCCTATCCTCTAATATCAAAGGTTTTGTAAATTCTGAAATTTTTATTGAAATATTTTTTTTTATTCCATTTTTTAAAGGCAGTGCTTTAATGCCTTTCTAGTTGCCGGGTTAATCCTTCCTTCCGCGATATCCAACTTATCTACGTGGGGGGTCATTAGACTCCAAGTAGATCCGGAAATGTTGAATTCTCTCCTCTTCTTATTGCGATATAAAATGTTTTTTGTTTCATTTCATTTACATTGGGAAATAGAGAAACGATCATTGTGTTTTGTTAGTTTTAAAAACTTTTGATATATTAGTATTTTGCATTATAAGCAGTCAACCCATTGACAAACTAGAATTATTTGAATTCCGTGTGGAAAGAGCTCGGGTTAATTTCGAGTGTTATCTGCAATCTAGATGTTTATAAATCATTTCAGTCGTTGATATTATAATTAAAGGTCGACTGAACATGAATTATATTATACAATTTAAAGCGCATTTCTGTTTATGCACGTGAACGCGTCTGACGTTATTTTCGCAGTTATATAAAGTAGCAAATTATCATTCCTGAATAGGTGGCGCCGTGGTAGCGGATCCTGTTCCTCTTCTTCCGGTTTCTGCACTGTGCAACTATTTCAGTTATATTTTTAATTAACGATGCCAAGTACTTGTTGTTGTGTACCTGGATGTCATTTAAGAGGAGGACATGCATTTCCAAATGACTTAAAAAGAAGGAAAAGTTGGATCAACGCCATGGCCCATACGCAGATTGGACGAGAACACGATGATATCGTGGAGTCGATCTCAATCAGCTGTTGTTTGCAAGGCACGTTTTACTGAAAAAGACTACGTGCAGGAAACTATTCATGGTAAAACTCTATTTTCTTTGTGAAATATATAGTTATATATGTAATCGCCATGCGAATAAACCAAAGTCTGTTTACAACCGCAATTATCGTTTTAGAATAAAAGGGGGTGGGTAACATGGGTAATTCAAGACGTCATAATTTTTTGGATTACGATTCAATGTGATCTGTTTGAGATTTTTTGGTGATTGCTACAATTATAATGATTTCTTACAAGAGGTATATCATACTGAGAATTATTTTAGCAGTAATTATGCTAATGTAGTAATGACAGGAATGCATAAGCTATGCCTCATAGACTTTCTTGAAAAATATCAATGACAATGTTAACAGGAACAAAACAATGACATGCTCTCATCTATATTATAGTTATTTAGGTACAAACAATGTACTTTTGTTGCATAAGTCTCTCATTGTTTGTCCTTAGGATTTACATAACATACATTGAATCAGGCAAACATAGTTTTATCCAGATTGTAATGAATAAATCTAGTTAATATTTCGCCAGGTAGTACAAAGTATACATTGCTAATGGAAGTTCATTTAATAAAAAAAAAAACAAATGTTTTATAACCTTTTTCAGGGCGCAAACCCACCATACAGAGACTTAAGTCTACTGCAATTCCCAGCCTATTTTCCTGGACCAAGCAAGAGACTGAATCGTCCGCAAAAAGAAAAATCAGGGCAGTTTCCTGTGAAAACAAAAGAACTAAACTTGATGAATATTGTAGTAGAAATCTAGAGGAAAGTTTTGATTGTAAAGTTGGTTTTCCTGAAGAAGTCATTCATACTGCAGAAAGGATTTATGACTGTCCACCACCAACTGCCGAGCTAATGTTGAGCTTCACAGATGGAATTACGCAAACACCATCAATGCCTATGTTTTCAGCAGAGAATTTTGAAATGAAGACACGTGACACAGCCATGCATTTTTATACCGGTTAAGAGTTGTATACTAAATTTTTATTTGTTTTGACCACACTTGGTCCAGCAGCACATTGTTTGAGATACATATATTTTCAAATTGATAGGGTGTCAGTTGAAAATCAGTTTTTTTATGACTTTGATGAAATTGAGACATCATACAACCAACTTTGAACTGTCTAGATTCTAGATTGAATCTAGTGTTAAGAATATTGTGTATACATGGATTGTTTTTATGTCTAAACAGTGGTGTGAGGCTAACACTTGGCCATCTAGTGGTTTAGTCAGGTATTTTTCACCATCCAACTTCAAATTAAAGTTTCCTACGACTTGGATTATTATTGACAGCACAGAATATCCCGTGATAAAACCTAAAGCTCCTAGAGCTCAGGCAACCTTTTCATCAAATAAAAACAGAAACACTGAAAATTCTTGAATGTTCGACACCTGGTGGTTTAGTCAACTATGTCTCTATGTCACATAGAGCGAATTATTGGACTTGGCAAAACATACTAAAATTCTAATAAATCCTATGAATGGAACTGAAACAAAACTTTCATCTGAAATAACATTTAGTTGTTTTATGTTGTGTAATTTTAGAACTTGTATTGTGCCAAAGGATGCATAAATAAAAGTGACGCAATGAATTTTGTTCTGATATATATATATTTACAATTACATGCACATGTAAATTGTAATCATATAAAAATAAGGAGATGTGGTATGATATTCAGTGAGTTTATCAAACTAAAGTGCATAAGAAATGGGTTTAAGCAGTTACAGGTGTTACTGTCACCGTACAATCTCCAACAATGAGAAAAACTCGTACCCTGTAAAAAATTTCAGAGATCTTACAACTAAGTTTTGTTGTCTCACCTTGACTTTGGTGAATTTTTTATATCTGTTGATGTAAATATAAAAAAGAAGATGTGGTATGATTGCCAATGAGACAACTCTCCACACATGCACAAGAGACCAAATGACACAGAAATTAACAGCTATAGGTCACAGTAAGGCCTTCAACAATGAGCAAAGCCCATACCGCACAGTCAGCTATAAAAGGCCCAGAAATGACAATGTAAAACAATTCAAACAAGAAAACTAACGGCCTAACAGCACAGTGTATTGCACAACAGCAAGAAATCTTTAATTGAATATAAATTCAATTCATATAACCGATTTCAAGTTCATTGACTACATTTTTTCAGAAACTATAATATGTCAAATATTTAATTACAATCCAAATTCAGACCTGTATCAAGCTTGAATATTGTGTCCATTTTTGCCCCAGCTGTTCAGGGTAGTACCTGTGCGGGTGTATCCAGCTGCGCTCAGAGAATCAGTTTATTTCTTAATTAAGAACTCCTTTTTATACGACCGCAAAAAAATTTTTGTGGTCGTATATTGGTATGACGTTGGCGTCGTCCGGCGTCGTCGTCCGAAGACACATTAGTTTTCACACTCTAACTTTAGTTTAAGTGAATGGATCTCAATGAAATTTTAAAATAAGGTTCAATACCACAAAAGGAAAGTGGGGGTTATGGTACCAACAGTTAAGGAATTAGGGGCCAAAAAGGGGCCAAAAATAAGCATTTTTGTAACTTCCAGACATAACTTGTGTGTAAGTGTATGGATCTCTCTGACATTGTACCACAAGGTTCCATATCACAAAGGGAATGCTGGGATTGATTTTGGGGTGCATTGCCTCCAAATTTTAGGAATTAGGGGCCAAAAAGGGGCAAAAAACAAGCATTTTTCTAGTTTCATGACAATAACTTGTGTGCAAGTCTATGAATCTCTCTGACATTGTATCACAAGGTTCCATATCACAAAGGGAATGCTGGGATTGAATTTGGGGGTAATTGCCTCCAAATTTTAGGAATTGGGGGCCAAAAAGGGGCAAAAAACAAGCATTTTTCTAGTTTCATGGCAATAACTTGTGTTTAAGTGTATGGATCTTTATGAAATTGTACTACAAGGTTCCATATCACAAAGGGAAAGCTGGAATTGAGTTTGGGGGTAATTGCCCAAAAAGTTTAGGAATAAGGGGCCAAAAATAAGCATTTTTCTAGTTTCCAGACAATAACTTGTGTTCAAGTGTATGGATCTCTCTGAAATTGTACTGCAAGGTACCATACCACAAAGGGAATGCTGGGATTGATTTTGGGGGTAATTGCCTCCAAATTTTAGGAATTAGGGGCCAAAAAGGGGCAAAAAACAAGAAACCTATGCTGTGTCAAATATTTAATTACAATCCAAATTCAGTGCTGAATCAAGCTTGAATGTTGTGTTCATACTTGCCCCAACTGTTCAGGGTTCGACCTCTGCGGTCGTATCAAGCTGCGCCCCAGCGGAGCATTTTATTTCATTCATAAATTACTTTATGCTTGGAAATATAATTTTGCTTGGAGTTGAATGAGTTGACATGTTGCAATGTACATTTACTCTACATAGTTCTATGGTACCAAATCAAAAGTTTATATAAAGAAAGAAGTCAAAGGTTTCCCATCATAGTTTAGTTACATACATTTTTTTTGTACCTGAGGTCGTTGAATATAGATCATTATATAAATAAGGAGATGTGTTATGATTGCCAATGAAAAAACTAAGGATTTCCTTATCCAAGGAATAGATTACCTTAGCCGTATTTGGCACAACTTTTTGGAATTTTGGGTCCTCAATGCTCTTCAACTTTGTACTTGTTTGGCTTTGTTACTATTTTGATCTGAACGTCACTGATGAGTCTTATGTAGACGAAACACACGTCTGGTGTATTAAATTATAATCCTGGTACCTTTGACAACTAATTTGACTATAAACATAGATAAAAAAGGTACAAACTGGACATAATGCACTAGTTCATAAACAAGTGAGATCAATCGCCTTCATATAGTGCTCAGAATATGACATTCATAAAACTTATTGAATATCATTAGAGAACTCTAAATCTTAAATACTGAAAGCCACCTCTGATAAGTACACTGTACTATGCAAGATAATGATATAACTGGACTTAAAATACTCACAACCTGTAATTAACTGCCTTTACAGCGCTTTCGTGCTTTGATTTTTAGATATTTACAGGAGTACACAGCCCTTGGTACAGCAGGAGGTCTTTATCACTTTCGGGACCAGATTTTGGCAGGACAACCAGATTATTTCTTTGTCATGAATTCAGATGTCTGCGGAGATTTCCCTTTGAAGGAAATGTTACAGGCACATAGAAAAAGAGGGAAAGGAGTATACTGTACCATCTTAGGCATAGAGGTAAACCATTATCAGTTTGTATTAAGGGATTTCCATTGACACATTCCATGAACTCAGGGAAGGCACTTTGAAAACTGAGTAACAATCGATCTACAGAGGAATTTTTTTGAAATTCTCCTACATTATAACATTTAGTCAAATTAAAATTGGAATCAATCGCACCTGCTGATGTAACCCCACCACATTTTTTCAGAGTGTATATTATATAGAGTAATAAGTTGCACATAAAAATCAAACATTTAAAAAATGCAATGAATATTTTTTTTTTACAGGCAACAAGACAACAGTCCCTGAATTATGGTTGTATTGTAGAAAACAAAGACACACATGAGGTAGGACTCTTAATCACAATTGGATTCAGGCAGCAATTTGGGCTCGGGCGCATCCTGTGCTTGCCTTTTTAAAAAAAAAAAAAAAAAATGTATTAAAAATAAGGCAAAATTACTTCTATTATAACATAATTCCATTGCTTTGAGTACATGTACCGTGGTAAACTACAAATATTTTGTATACCAGCTGTTCTTCAACCTCATGATTTATTTGGAATGTTCCAATCATACACCCACGTCGTAAGCTTTATATGAATGATTTACCCTGCTGCCCTAGATCAATTGATGTAAATGACATCATTGAATTATTTTTATGCCCCACTTAGGGGCATTTTTTTTTCGGCCTGTGCGTCCGTCCAATGTCCCGCTTCAGGTTAAAGTTTTTGGTCAAGGCATCCCTGTACTATGGACACATTCTTGTTTTTAGATTTAAACCATTTTAATTAGGGTCCAATTGCCAGTTGGGAAAAGTTCAAATGGACATTCTTCTACAAGCATGTTTTATTAATAAGTATCGTAAAATAATGCAACATTTTAATACTTTGTCTGAAATTGTATGGGGCATTTATAATCAGCTTTAAAAAGGCAACAGTGTTCTCCCCAGGCCCTTAAAGGACCGCGGGCCCCGAGATGTATAATTGTTTACCGTGGTGGTATCGTTCTTACCGCGATGTATAATTTTTCTCTGTGGTGCTAAAATTTTCAGTTAAAAAATCGTAAATCGGTAAAGTTTTAAACAACTTGTTAAATCTTTTCCGTGCCGTATAAAATTCCAGGTGAAATTTGACCAGTTCAAACCAGTTCAACACAGATTGTTTACACCACGTGATCGATTTACCTTATGAGGTTAACCTTGTTGATTGGATTTAATCGATGTAATTAGCACTTGTAACATGATTCTTTTGTGTTTTAATTAAGAGTTCATAAGTTTATGATCACAGATAACTATTTTATGGCTTCACTCTCCACCCAAGCACTGACCTGTGACAAGTCGGCAAATACTTTGTACACAAACACTGTCTTGACCCGATAGGTACATTTTTTGTACATCATAATGGTGGCTCATTACGTATAATGGACAACTATACATTTCCCAATTCTTATATTATAGTATTATTTGTCTCTAATTAAACCATGGCCAATATTATCTTTAATTATGACATAGTTATTGCATGATAGTCAGGTTTCAAACTGTAGTATCTGTCTGTACATATCACATGACCCAGTTAGTTCACGTAGAATATTCAAGTTTATTTACAATTAATTGCAATCTATTATATTTTATAAATAAAATGCATGACTGTACCTTCAAACTGGATATCTATATCCATAATAAATGAATAACAGAAGTAATCTTGCAAATTTTATTCATAAGCACATGTTAAATCTATTTTTATCTACTTCCTGTCATTTAGGCAGGAAAATAGGGAGACTTAGTTGTTGACATTGAATATGGTTACTTATAGATCTATAGACCAAAGATAAATTTATAGATTTAGGAATTCTTTCTAAATGGTTCATGACAAATAAAGATTTAGATTTAAGGCAGTATTAAGTCTGTATCTATGTTTGATTATCACCAAAGACAAGAAAGGTTAATATTTAAATGAAATCTATGGCAAAATGTTCTAAAATTTATGAAAAATTTCTTTTTATTAAATCTTAGATAGAAACTGGTTCAAATAATAAAACAATATTTGCAATTGTTCTTGTTAATTTTATATCTTCTTATGACAGGAATCCTCTCACATACAACAACTAGAAAGTTTTTTAAATTGAACATTTTTGCTCTCTTTTGAATGATATTTTATTTTTATTAATTTTGGATTTTATAAAAGATTTAATTACTTTAAATTCAGATGAAGATTTTATTATGAATCATAATTTATTTATTTAAAAAAAATATTCAATAAAATTGAGAATGGAAATGGGGAATGTGTCAAAGAGACAACAACCCGACCATAGAACTAAAGTATACAAACCGTTTTTTTATTTACTTCTTTTTTACCAATAATTTTCTGAATCAATGTCTACATAACACAGTACCACAGTGTTAAAACAAAACAAGACACATAAAAACTATAGTAACTAGAGCTAAGCGACGCAACGCGACACAACTGATTGCATGAAATATTTCACCAAGAAGTCCACATGCGTTACCCTGGTGCTATCCAAAAATCCTGGGGAGAACACTGGTCAATATTGCCTAAATATTTACCTGGGCTGTGAGTTAATGTTTTTTAACCTGTCCTTTCTACTATACAAATACAGGTGTATAGAAAACATGAAGCCATAGTATACATGTACTTTTATAGTCTCCTAATCTCCTGCTGCTGTAGAGAGCGAACCGTTTTGTTCAAATTACTGTTTATATCACAATTAAATTTTGAGTCCTCATTGCTTTTCTCTCTGTTTGTAAAGTTGGTACAAATAATTTTTTTTAATTTTCTTTCTCTGTACCAATATGTTTACATAAATATCCCAAATTATTTTACTGATGAACCACCAATAGATAGGGGAGATAATTCAGACTTTTATCATTTTATCATATATTGCTGTAACTGGATATTATTTAGAAAGTAAGATGTACATGTACTATGAATATTCATATGGTTTATTTAGTGGTTAATATTCTGGATTGTTTAATATAATTTCCCATTAGATATTTCAGATGGATCAAATTTATATTTAATAAAATTGAGAATGGAAATGGGGAATGTGTCAAAGAGACAACAACCCGACCATAGAGCAGACAACAGCAGAAGGCACCAATGGGTCTTCAATGCAGCGAGAAACTCCCGCACCCGGAGGCGTCCTTCAGCTGGCCCCTAAACAAATATGTATACTTGTTCAGTGATAATGGACGTCATACTAAACTCCAAATTATACACAAGAAACTAAAATTAAAAATGATACAAGACTAACAAAGGCCAGAGGCTCCTGACTTGGGACAGGCACAAAAATGCGGCAGGGTTAAACATGTTTTTTGAGATCTCAACCCTCCGCCTATACCTTTAGCCAATGTAGAAAAAACAAACGTACAACAGTACGCACAGTAAAACTCAGTTTAAGAGAAGTCCGAGTCTGATGTCAGAATAGAAAACAAAAAAAAATAAACAAAATGACAATAATACATAAATAACAACAGACTACTAGCGGTTACTGACACGCCATGCCAGCTCCAGACCTCAATTAAACTGATTGAAAGATTATGTCTTCATCATATGAATATCAGGCACAATCCCTCCTGTTAGGGGTTTAGTATTATACCATCATAAAATATATGAGAAGAACATAACCCGTGTCATGCCAACAACTGGTTTTAGAATAAATATGTTTAATTCCGATGCAAAGACCATATAAGTGAATCAATATTAAAGCCAAAATATGCAATCTTTAATGACCTGACAACAGTATCGTAACCATATCCCTTCATAATAAGTCTGTTTCAAGGTTTTGTTAGCTTTTGAGGTGAATAGTGACACTTTTGTGCTTTGTAAAGAATATTACCATAAAAGATTGGATGTGAAATACCTGAACATATAAGATGTCTGCATGTTGAGTTATATTTACGAATGATGTCCTTATACTGATGATAAAATTTAGTAAAAGTTTTGACTATTTTATGATATCGAAAACCCTGGTGTAATAATTTTTCAGTAATACATAAATTTCTCTCGCTAAAATCTAATACGTTGTTACATACACGAGCGAATCGTACAAGTTGAGATATATAAACACCATAAGATGGTGACAAGGGAACGTCACCATCTAAAAATGGATAATAAACGAAAGGAAATGAAAAATCATCTCTTTTATCATAAATTTTTGTATTAAGCTTCCCGTTAATGATATAGATATCAAGATTGAGGAAAGGACAGTGGTCATTGTTAGTATTAGCTTTATTTAAAGTAAGTTCAACAGGATAAATTTCTTTAGTATACATACTGAAGTCGTCATTGTTGAGAGCCAATATATCATCCAAATATCTAAAAGTATTGTTAAATTTTTGTATCAGATGTTGTTTTGATGGGTCTTTACTGATTTTAGTCATAAATTGTAACTCAAAACAATACAAAAACAGGTCCGCAATAAGTGGTGCACAGTTAGTCCCCATTGGAATTCCGATAACTTGACGATATACGGAATCTCCAAAGCGAACAAAAATGTTATCAAGTAAAAATTCAAGGGCAGATATAGTATCAAAGCATGTCCAATTGACATAGCTCTTTTGTTTGTTGCTACTAAAAAATGACCTAAAAGAGTTTGAATATATGTATTCGCATTCCGACTTTTTAAATGCCCATTTAATTATGTGTGTGAATTTTTTCTTAATAAGAATATGAGGCAAAGTGGTATATAGGGTAGAAAAATCAAAACTTTGAACAGATTCAAAATCACCAATATATGCATGCAATTTATCAAGTACTTCCAACGAGTTTTTGACACTCCAAAAGTAGTTAATTCCACTATTTTCAAAGGCCTTATTTGAACAATTTATTATCAGGTTTTTGATTGTACCAAGTGTACTAGTAAGTAGAATAGACAATTTAGTAGTGGAACAATGACTTGAAGACGAAATAAATCTATATTTGTAAGGTGATTTGTATAGCTTCGGAAGCCAGTACAAAGTTGGGACTTTCATTGTATAAATTTGGTTCTGCTTGTAAAGAAGTAGCTAATAGTTTATGCTTGTTACAGATATCGTTTTCTGAAAATGAAGTCAGTTGAAATGTTGGTGAATTCATGATTTCCTTTTGCAGAACTATTTTCATATTGCTACTTTAATAGCATGCATATGACATTATATAAGATTGGTTCACTATATTTGTACATACATTATATTTTAAAGCTGTCTGATGGATGAATACCTTTTCACCTGCATATTTTTTATTTTTTATTAATATAATGTAGGAAGAAAGTCCATTTGATTGAGTTGAGTAGTCTTGGCAGAAATTGCTACAATGTATTATTTTTTTAAATCAAAAACACTGCTACCATTTTTTGTGTTTGAATTTCCAATTAGTTTTAAAAATTGGGCGATTTTGAAAGCTCTGGTTTTTATCATATTTTAAATACTACATGTTGAAAGGGACAGCAACACCAACAATGCAAGTTTGAATTTATTTTGTAGGTATTGCATTATGTAGAGAAACCAGAAACATACATTAGTACAACAATTAATGGTGGAGTGTACCTGTTCTCACCTGAGATTTTCCAACCGTTAGAACGTATTTTCAAGCAGAATTTGGATAGTAAATACAGGTATGTTATAGTAGAACAATGCACTCTACAGACCTCCTTGGAACATCTTTCTCTCATTATATTATTAGCTTACTTTCTCAAATATATCTATTAAATACTGTAAACCAACTTATTTTCACAAATACTTATTTCGCATTTAGCCCTTTCTATACGTTTTTGCAACATTTTAGTGAATTAGTATAAGATCAAAATTTAATTGATTTGTGAAGATTTATATTCGCATTATTTTTTTAATCGCCAAATTCACAAAAATAGAGTGGTTGTGAAAATCAGTTGGTTAACAGAATTCAAAACTTCTGTTTACATTAAATTGCAAACACAGCATTTAGTATGACAAAATATAGTAATATTTAGACAGCTATTGTGGCTGTCATGTAAATTGGCACCGTTTTTTTTTATCAGACATTAAAAATCCTGTGTCCAACATGCATATTGCTAAGTTCTTTTTCCTGTTTCAAATTTTTTTCCCTAACTGTAACTGTAATCTATAGTTGCTGTCAAGTAAAATTGGCTCTTGGTTTTTGATAAAGTATTTTCAAACTATCAATTGCATTCATCAGAGAAGTGAAAAACGTCATCTCAAATGAACATGATTGATATAGCTTAAAAATTTTACATGACAGCAACTATAGAATACTTACAGTTATTGGGAAAAAATTTCAACCAGGTAAAAAAAAATTAGCAATATGCATGTTGGACACAGGATTTTTAATGATTGCCTTCGATAATGCCATAAAAACCACCAAATCCAACTAGTGTATTTACTGTCTTAATGAAATCATGACCACTTAATTTAGACTTTATCTTATTAGACAGATTAGTAGAGAGTTCATTTAAAATTACACTTTTTAAATGGTCACCTTTTAAACAAAAATAAAATTTCCCAGAAGGGACGTGCTGTGTTTGTTTCTGACTGTTTTAGACTAAAGAAAAGGGTTAAGGAAAAGAAAATTTTAAGCTCAATTCAAATATTCTAATATAATTTATAAACTATGGATTTATTATTATTCGTTGGATACCAATTTTGGTAGGTTTAGGCGAACCTCGAATTTCAATGTTCAAGAAGTACACATTTTCTATAGGCTTGTATATATATATATATTGAGACTTTGGCAAAACCACAAAACCAGATGTCCATGAAAATACAATTTTTCCAACTATTTGTACCTGGGAAAATAAATGAATCCACAGTATTAATTTTTGGGCAATTTTTAGGTGAAATAATGATCATATTTTAAATAAAAATACCAATTTAGAACAGGTAAAAAAATAGGTTTCCTTATCAGAATTATTATCATGTCAATATAAATCAAAAGATAAATAGACCATTTACAATTTAACGTGATTTATGCATTTTTTTTTTTCAAAAACGCAACTTAATGTTAGGCTACAAATAATGTTCGCAGATCTAGATTAAAAACAACAACTCTTAAGACAGGTTCACTATAAACTGTGTAATTTCTATCTTTCATTTCTTATATAAGTGTATTTCAAGATCTGATTTTAGTTTATTTTGTCTGTAGTTGCAAAGAAGGAAGATTTGACAGTTTGGGGTAAAACTATAAGCATGTTGTCTTGTGTTTTTGTTTCGTATCTTTGTGTAGAAATAGCCTATATTGTAGGACTTTTTGCATCAATTTAACTAGTTACAATTCTGAAAGTGAATTTCAATACATGTCATAATGCCTGTTTTAAAATTGAGAATGGAAATGAGGAATGTGTCAAAGAGACAACAACCCGACCAAAGGACAGAAAACAGCCTATTGCCACCAATGGGTCTTCAACACAGCTAGAAAATGCTGTTTTGCTATTCAATTAATTTTAATAGGTTGTTTGTTTTTGCTGCTGAACTTATTTTTATATCCCTTTCAATGACAAAAAAAGTTTAGAACATACATAAGAATTATTGTCTTGTTCTTTCTCTCTGTCCAGACTTTTTTAAAATTCAAATGAATGAACTGTAAAGAGTTAAATTCTACATGTCAAAACTATTTTCAACTTGTACATTCAGTGACAGGGAGAATATTGAAATAAAAAAAATATGAAACTATTTTAAGATAAAATGGATATTTTTCAGAGGTAAAAAGTGAGTATATCAATTTTTTTTTATGTTTTTTTTTTTATAAAGTAATGCTAGTATAGAAATCACATATACATACTTGTCTTATAAAACAATACATGTATTGAATGACAGGTTTTTCATGAATAGCACAGTTAGTTTCATCTTGTCCGGTATGTCTGTAGGAAATGATATGACTGTATGAAAGTCAAGTCTGTTTTTTTTCCACCAGTACTTGCAGAATTTGATCAAATGGAATTGGTTCATTGAAGAAGAGCATTCTTCTCGAATTATGCATGATCTTACTTTGTCTAGATGTTGTTTATAAGGTGGCTGTATTTTTACTGTTAATAAGAGAATTTCTTTTGTATGATTCAATTTGATGTCTTGCTGGCTGTAAAAAAGTATCTTGCTTAAACTGATTAAACCTGGTTCAAATTGTCAGTACACCATGTTTAGAAATACAATTGAAAAGTGATAATCGGCTTGCAGTTCAGCCAGTGAGATTGTACTTTCAACCACTCATCTTTGGGAAAACTGAACATGTGATTGATATAAGATTTTTAATAGAGCACTTTTTGCATAGCTGTATAAAAACCTGTTAATCAATTCATCTAAGTAACATGTTCAGTTTTGAATTGAATATAAGTGGCCAAGAGTACTTTTAGTTATTTTGATGTTAAAACAGATGTTGACTTTTCAATAGTATTTTTCAATTCTGTGTAACTGATTAATCAGTGTCCAGATTGTAGCATTATTGTTAAATTATACTTTACTAATTGGGAAGCATGAAGTATACATGTTAAAAGGGAACTAATACAGTTGATTTAGAAATTCTGTTTTTTGTTTTTGTTTCATTTACCTCCCATTTCCCTGTTTCACAGTACAAACTTTGATTTGAAGTTCACTGCCAAAAAATCCCTCAATCTGAAATTTCATTTTGATTTGATTTGATATGTTATTTGATGAAAGTTTATTTCACAGGCTAATTGAATAAAAACAAAGAAAAACCCAAAATCCAAAGAAAAAATTAAAAAGGGAATCATCATACTGCATGAAGAAATTGAATCGATTCCACCATGACTTTTTTTGTCATTATTAAGCTACTGATATAGCCATTTGTTTTTACTGTGAAAACTTTACATTCATAATCTTTCCAAATCTCTAACCATTAGAATCAACATGATCAAGGTGACTATGTAAAAATAATTGAAGTGTCAGATTTGAAAAAAATAGAAATATGATATTTTTGTAACCATTATTTATTCTTGAAGTTTTTTGCAAATTGTCATATATGCTACTCCAATATGATCCTGTTTTTGTTTAAAACAATATATGCCAATCTTGGAATAGGTTATTCATGCTTTGGTTTGACGTTGCTAGGTAACCGTGCTACAGTTCATGCCATACTCCTTATTGGCTATTGCTTACATGTAGTGAAACATGTACTGCTTAGTAGACTTTGTCATCTTTACAGCTGCTGTTTGTAAAACTAAATTGTGATCTTTTAAAGAGCCCTTGACCCAGTTTGGCCTTGTGAGCATTGCAATTATTTGACTCTTTATATCATGATCATCTTAAGTTTTCGAAAATCTTCTCTTCTCTATGGAAAATTCTTGGACCGATTTCACCCAAACTTGACCTGAATATATCAATATGATAGTTGTAATTTTAGTCCCTCCCAAGCAGCAACAGAGCTGCAATGAGTATACAAATATCGTAAGAGTAAAATGTATTTTTTATGAAAACCATGTAGGCCTTATAGATAGGCCAATTTGATTATTTCTGCCTTTTATTTAGAAACATCCATAGACAACAGAATCTGCCAATAGCAAAAATTATCAGCAATACAAAATCTAAAAAAGTCAGAAACAACTTATAGTCTTAAAATGAAGTATTTTTTTTTTTTTGCATTTTGACTATAATTTTGAAAACTATTATATGTAGACAGAAACTGCAAAAATGATCATCAAGGTTTGATATTGAAAGTGACAAAATAGAAATGCTCCATAATTGATTGTTTTGTTCAATCACTCAGAATTACTTTTTTCACCCATGATAAAAATAAATCATTTATCTTGTACAACAAACATGTAATACTACCGGTATTCATTTCAACCCTCAGAGAACTCTCTCAAAAAGCTGAACAAGTCATATGAAAATAAGAGGAGAAAATAAATATCAATATTGTGATATCGAGCCATATTTCTGCCAAGTGAGGAGTTCAACCCATTCAAAAAGCTGGATACATCATGTATTTGAAAAATATAGATAGTTTGTTTCTGATTTGAAGTCAGAAGTAAAATTGTCATGTGCTTGTCATTTTTCTTTAAAGAATTTGGCAAATTCAAGTTTTTTCTTAGACCAGCTTAATAATTTATTACATTTTAAGATTAATTTTTTGTTTCAAATGAGAAGATTTGTTAATATTATGTAACTCACGTTCCAAGCTTGTGGTCAGCATACACAGCTATACAAAAAATACAACTTTCATTTTCTACTTTCAGTTTTGATCCAAATATTTCCACCAGTGAAGTAATAAGATTAGAACAGGATATTTTTGTACCTTTAGCCAGCTCAGGAAAACTTTTTGTATATGATACGAAACGTTTCTGGAGTCAAATTAAATCTACAGGGTAAGTCTGAGAAAGTGAGAAATTAAGAGGTAATTGTTTCTTGAAATGTAAATATTCATAATTAGTTAATGAAATGAGCACTGATTACTGTAAATTCAGAAATACATGCATTTATAAATAATTGCCATTTTTACAGACTGGACAAAAATGCGAGATTAATTAATGCGATTTCAGGAAAATCAGCCTCAGATATTGAAATGCGATGTCTTATTATTGCGATAATCACCCTGTCATAATATTTGCATTAATAAATTCCTCGCAATAATTTCTGAATTTACAGTATCAGGTTGTCTGCATATTGATATTTAATGATATGAATATGATGAAAATCTGATAATCGATTTATCTGATTGTATTTGTGTCATTTACATGATAGAAACAAGTGATTTCTTTGTTTCACCAGCACAACAGAAGATGACTTGATAAGTTAGGGTCAAACTTATCAACCTAGGTTCATTCATTATGATGTTTATGATATGTCCAAGTCAAAGTTATTTAGGCCATGTTAATGTATTTGATGTCACAAAGCCATGATATGCAAATTTATAAAGAACTGAGTAGAGTGATACAAACAGGTTTGGTCATAATGATACACATGTTAAATTTGGAGGCAGAAATTTCGATTGGCTGATAATAAAATTACCAAAACAGGAAAAAGATCCGAGTGTTTATAGATCCTTGTGATCATGAGCAAAGCATGAACAAAGGTTCTGTATTTCAATCAGATTGATTACTTTAAATTCAGAAATTATTGCAAGGTTTTTTATTATTTTCAATAATGCCACTGGGTGAGTATTGCAGAAATAAGAACATCCTGATGCCGATACATACATTTGTATTCAGACTTTCCAGAAATCGTAATAATTAATCTCAAAATTTAGTCCTTTCTTTAAAAATCACAATAATAAATGGTCACAATAATATCTTATAAATTGACAGTACATTTTGGAATTAATCATATTCATTCCCTTGACTGTTGACCATACTGTTCTTTGATTTTATAGATTTAACAATATTTACAGGAATTAAAGGATTTTCAATGTTGTTTTTTTAATATGGAAACATAATGACACTTTTGGAATGCTTCTCCTCTCAGACCCTTTGCCAGGAAGGATACATGTAATATAAAACAAATATGTACTACACATTTTATCATCAAAGAGATGATTTTTTTTCACCTCTGTACACAGTACTTTAAATTATTTTTTTTGGATTGTTTTTCAGGGCAGCAATTTATGCAAACAGACATTATTTAGCCATTTACCAAACAACTCATAAAGACAGATTAGCAACTAATGGTGAAGGGAAGCCAAAGGTTATAGGAGATGTAACAATACATCCTACTGCCCAGATTCACCCTACAGCTGTGGTTAGTTTAAAGCAACAGAGTCTGTACACAAAATATTTCAAATATCAATGTGTTGTTATGAAATTAAGATATGTCCCAGCCAGCAGAGACCTCAGAAAAAGCGAAATATTTACAATGTTTACTTTAACATCTCAAAATCCTGTACCTTTTCCTCGAATGTGACAATACCAAATTAGACTATTTACTGAATTTGTACTGACTTGAGCAACAGGATGGGTGTTACCTGTGGAGCAGGATCTGCTACCCTTCCTAAGCATTTGAGTTTCTTTCACCTCTCTTTTATTTAAAATCAATATATTTTGAACCTGTATAAACCCGAACAACTATCTAAACTGAGCAAATTTTTGAGGCATTTATGGTTTTGTTTTTGACAGATTTCATTGTAAAATGGATATGTTTAAAATAATAAATGCTTTAATACTTTCATGTGTCTGAATTGCTTTTCTGGATCTACCTTCATCAGGAATGCTCAAACCTAAACATTTAAAAGCCAGGGATGAATAAGACCAAAACACATGAAGAACAATATGACCAAAGGGACCTAGATAAAAAGCCCAATTCATCTATTAAGGTCAACTATGCCTTAAAAAAATTTTTTTGTTATAGCTTGGACCAAATGTATCCATTGGAAAGTATGCCAACCTTGGTGAAGGTGTAAGAGTAAGAGAATCAATTGTGTTAGAGGGAGCCACTTTACAGGTAGGTGAAGGTGTAAGAGTGAGAGAATCAATTGTGTTAGAGGGAGCCACTTTACAGGTAGGTGAAGGTGTAAGAGTGAGAGAATCAGTTGTGTTAGAGGGAGCCACTTTACAGGTAGGTGAAGGTGTAAGAGTGAGAGAATCAATTGTGTTAGAGGGAGCCACTTTACAGGTAGGTGAAGGTGTAAGAGTGAGAGAATCAATTGTGTTAGAGGGAGCCACTTTACAGGTAGGTGAAGGTGTAAGAGTGAGAGAATCAATTGTGTTAGAGGGAGCCACTTTACAGGTAGGTGAAGGTGTAAGAGTGAGAGAACCAATTGTGTTAGAGGGAGCCACTTTACAGGTAGGTGAAGGTGTAAGTGTGAGAGAATCAATTGTGTTAGAGGGAGCCACTTTACAGGTAGGTGAAGGTGTAAGAGTGAGAGAATCAGTTGTGTTAGAGGGAGCCACTTTACAGGTAGGTGAAGGTGTAAGAGTGAGAGAATCAGTTGTGTTAGAGGGAGCCACTTTACAGGTAGGTGAAGGTGTAAGAGTGAGAGAACCAGTTGTGTTAGAGGGAGCCACTTTACAGGTAGGTGAAGGTGTAAGAGTGAGAGAACCAGTTGTGTTAGAGGGAGCCACTTTACAGGTAGGTGAAGGTGTAAGAGTGAGAGAACCAGTTGTGTTAGAGGGAGCCACTTTACAGGTAGGTGAAGGTGTAAGAGTGAGAGAATCGATTGTGTTAGAGGGAGCCACTTTACAGGTAAGTGAAGGTGTAAGAGTAAGAGAATCAATTGTGTTAGAGGGAGCCACTTTACAGGTAGGTGAAGGTGTAAGAGTGAGAGAATCAATTGTGTGAGAGGGAGCCACTTTACAGGTAGGTGAAGGTGTAAGAGTGAGAGAATCAATTGTGTTAGAGGGAGCCACTTTACAGGTAGGTGGAGGTGTTAGAGTAAGAGAATCAATTGTGTGAGAGGGAGCCACTTTACAGGTAGGTGAAGGTGTAAGAGTAAGGGAATCAATTGTGTTAGAGGGAGCCACTTTACAGGTAGGACTTTTATTAATAAGCTTAAGTTTAGAAATAGGATAAAACAAGGGATTTAAAGGCAAATTTTAAAGAGATAAAACATTCTGTGAAAACTTGGGAATATTTTTTTATTCTGTTTTATTAGAATTTCATTGATTGATCAATTCTTTATTGTTGTTACTCATTAAATGTTAATATTAGGGGCCAGTTGAACTTTATCACACACACACTCCTTTCCTTTGTATTCTGTTGAATGCTTAAATTTCTGGTTCAAACATTTAAACAAATTATTTTTGTGAGGATTTTTTTTTCGTGACTTTTGCAGGATACAAAATACATAAGTGTAAATCGTCCTGAAAAAATGTGGAAATATGATCTTTATTAAAGAATTAAACGACTACATATACAAAGTAAGGCTATACACCAATCCCTAGTTGTTTTTTTACAAATGCATTACACTGGTTGACCCGAGGTCAATCTATGTAAACAACATCATTGAACAATCGGTTCTTATTGTGTAGTGATAGCATAAGCTTTTTGACATAGGAAATTTAGAGGAAAGTGCATGAATTTGAAAGTCGTCCAGTGTTAAAATAATTGTCACAAAGTTAGCTAAAGAGGGCTTAAGGCAAGAAAAAGTATTCCATTAAAATAATTTGGCTCACAGTACCCATGGAATCCACAAAAGTTTGTACACAGCAAATTATAACAAATTCACAATACTTGGAGTTACATTTAGCAATAGAAATGTCTGCCATGTTAACAGACATTTAATTTTTTTTAGTTTGAAAAATTGAAACATCATGTACATATAGAAGAACTAAATTTTTAAATATTTCTTTTTTCTTTTTTCATACAGGATCATTCTTGTGTATTATACAGTATCATTGGTTGGAATGCAGTAGTTGGTAGTTGGACACGAGTAGAAGGTACACCTAATGACCCAAATCCAAACAAACCATTTGCCAAAATAGAAGTGACATCTATATTTACAAATGATGGAAAACTAAATCCTTCAATTACAGTAATAGGTAAGTCTAACTGTGTTTTGGTAGAATTTTAAAGCCAGTACAGATTTACTTGATAAATAATTCTTTTGTGTCATGATGTATGCTCTTTTAACTTGGGTAGGCATTAAGTTTATAGAAATATTTACACTTAGCATTAGCTAGGTGTAATATATTAACAACTATGATGCCTACTGATGTTAAAATAAATATAGAGCATTTCGATTCTAATGGTAATACTTGGAACTTTTTGCCTTTTAATCTGGCCTAAAAGACAAATCCAAAAGGCAGCCAATTAGAATTAGGGATACAAAAAACGATAAAAAAGAAATAAGTGTTTTACCATTGAAATATATTATAAACCTATTTTTCAAGAGATTTTATTGAATTTTTACATGAGGAACTCCAGTCTGATCTTCAAACTGTATCCCCTACTTTTTGGGGATTTGAAAAAAAGGTTTTGATAAAAAAAAAGATATTAAAAGTGTCATATGAGAACTTACAATTGTACATATATATATATGAATATATATATATATATATGTTTGAAACATACTACATCTCTGTATTAATATCCTCTTCCTTTGCCCTCTGATGGATAGTTGTCTCATTGGCAACCATTACACATCTTCTTATTTCTATATGTATGTCATTGTCTAAGATAAAATCGACCTAGCTACCAAATGAGAACAACAGTACACCAAGAGTATTGGGATCTGTGATATCTGTTTTTTTGTCCTGTTTGCCTGGTTAGCCTACTTTTGATATTTTTTACATTGAATTATTTTCTTTTGTATAACAATTCATATTTAGATGTCATTGATCTATAACATATATACATATTTCTCTTTTAGGTTCCAATGTGCAAATCCCCTCAGAAGTAGTAATCTTAAACTCCATTGTTTTACCAGACAAATCTTTAAGTGGGAGTTACAAAAACCAAATCATCTTATAATAGTGATATAATTTGTGATTTTACAGTAGAAGGGAGATAACTCAAATTTGACTGAACGTTGTATGACACCATATCATTGTGGAAAAGTGCAATGCATGAACATACTGGAACGTTGTGACTATTTTTTGATATAAGTGATGGAAATGCATTCCTTAAATTTGGTTTTCACAATTTGACCAAACAGATATCTTTGATAGACACCTTATCAAGACACTAAATTTCACAACGGTTTTGAATCATAACTACGGGATGTTATTTAATAACTCAAATATTGACAATTTGATGATAATGACTTGAGTTCATATTCAAAAGTGTCAGTCTCCTTAGGATTCAGGATATGGTTAAAATGTTTTGAGAAACAACTTAAAGTTGTTCTTAAAATGTTAATGCATTTTAAGTTTCCAGACTGGAAGATTTCCGAAATTATTCATTATTTATTTAGCCATAATTTCATATACTTGTATTTCTAATATTTACATACTTTGTTGTATATTATTTATGAGGGATTTTATAAATGTTTTTGGTTATTTTATTCTTTGTGTTCTATTTCTAATCTGATCTGGTTAACTTCAACTTTGAGTGTTCAACAAAGAATATGTTTCTTAAAGGCTTGTATGAAGAATTTATTACCTCCCAATCGGTTATCCACAAAATGTGTTTTCCTCAATACACTAAAATTGCTGCCCAAGAAAGTAAATGGACAATATCTGTTCAGTGGCGACTTGCTTACTTACTTACTGCCCTGTATGCCAGTGGTGAATACAGAACTTAAAATTACCTTAAAAATATTATTTTGAGAGATCACCATCATTTCTTTCTGTATTAATTTATATGTTTAACAAATATCTTGTCCTCTGTCCTTGTATTTTAAGGGCATACGATACAGTTTTTATCACAGTGATTTTTTTACGAAAATTTGCATACAAGCTATTTTTTCACGTAATCAATTCAAATATGTAATAAAAAATATATTTTAGTGTGCTAAATTTATAGATAAATGGGGTTGACATTATTGACATTTACTTAAACTTCGTTTTTTTGGAGATTTCTATCCTTTGGAGAGACATACTTAACTTTTTTTTTTCAAAGATAAACACATAAAAATATAAGAAAAATCCTCTTGACCAAATTATACTCTTAATTTGTGCAACAATTCTTTGTAAATAATTTGATTTAATTAGATCATAGTTTGAAAACTATGTAAATATGCATCAAAAAATGCCGTTCAAATCTTGAAAATCTAATTAAATCAAATTATTTACAAAGAATTGTTGCACAAATTAAGAGTATAATTTGGTCAAGAGGATTTTTCTTATATTTTTATGTGTTTATCTTTGAAAAAAAAAAGTTAAGTATGTCTCTCCAAAGGATAGAAATCTCCAAAAAAACGAAGTTTAAGTAAATGTCAATAATGTCAACCCCATTTATCATCTGTGATTTTTTCATAAAAATTGGAACAAATAATCTTCATACAGTATCAAGTCAAATTTCATTCTGCTTGTGTTCAAGCTAATTATTAAAATCACTTGGAAAATGCATCTTTTCCTGATATGTTGCAGTTTTGACGTCACGAGAAACAACATTTTACGTTAGAAATGTCATGACCTCCCCTGTAACTGTATTGTATGCCCTGTAAAACTAAGACTTTCTAATATATTGACAAAAGATTGTACTAACAAACAAATGTGTACCAAACACTTTTGTTTAAGGTCATGTTAGAATTCAAGAGTCAGAGCAGCTTTGAGATATTTAAGAACACATTATTCTGGTTATTGTTATAAAAGAACTTTTGCTGGTTTAGTATCAATTTCGATGTATCCACAAATACAGCAAACAAAATGAACATGAAGTATATAGAAAAAAAAATGATAAATTATACAATTCACCTTACAAGCACTAAGAAGGAAAATATTGTTGCTTTTACAAAGTATATAAAAATAAGGAGATGTGGTATGATTACCAATTAGACAACTATCCACCAAAGTTCAAAATGAAGTGGATGTAAGCAATTATAGGCAACCGTACAGCCTTCAACAATGAGAATACCCCATACTGTATAGTTGGCTATAAAAGGCCCCAACATGAAAAAATGAAACAATTCAATTAAGAAAACAGCCTAATTTATAACAAAATAATTTATGAAAAACAAATATGACAGACATTAGTCTTTGATGCATGATTTTTTTATTATTTGTTATTGGCTTTTAACTAGCTGTCAGTAACTGCGAATACTCTCAGATCAGTACTTAGTGTCTTTTTGTTGTTGGGATGTACAAGTACCCGGCCACGTCCTCTCTGTGTTTTTATTAGATGTATTTCTATTTGTATCCATCTGATGAGTTAAGCCTTTTTCAACTGATTTTTATAGTTCGTTCTTATGTTGTACCATAACACCACTGTCCCAGGTTAGGGGGAGGGTTGGGATCCTGCTAATATGTTTAACCTCTCCACATTCTGTATGTATGTATGTGTCTGTCCCAAGTCAGGAGCCTGTAATTCAGTGGTTGTCGTTTGTTGATGTGTTACATATTTGGTTTTTGTTCATTTTTTTGTACATAAATTAGGTTGTTAGTTTTCTCGTTTGAATTGTCTTACATTTGTCATTTCGGGGCCTTTTATAGCTGACTATGCGGTATGGGCTTTGCTTATTGTTGAAGGCCGTACGGTGACCTATAGTTAGTAATTTCTGTGTCATTTGGTCTCTTGTGAAGAGTTGTCTCATTTGCAATCATACCACATCTTCTCTTTTATATGAACCAATGACAACCACTGAACAAAAAGCTCCTTACTTGGGACAGACACATAAATAATGTGGAGGGGTTAAACATGTTTGTGAGTACTCTAATCTGGGACTGGTGTAACAACACAACATAAGAACAAACTATTTATACTAGAAGTAATTGTTTAATGAGTCAGCAAAGAAATTGAAGAACATATATATATATATAATATATTTATTATTTATGTAATTAACTTATTTACAATTCTGTCAACATTAAATTCATGCCTCAGGGATGGATTCTTACTTTGTCAAACTGATGTTCTCAGATCGCTCACAAGATAAGCCTCTAGTAAATATTTATGCATTCAAAAAGAATAAATGTCTCTGACTCCGACAAACCCCTTTTGGATGATGAAAGTATAAAAAAACGAGATACTGAAGAGACCAAAGGTAGAATAAAAATTATTAGAAAAGTAAACAAAATAAAACATGATAAACCAGGGAAAGAGAAACTAATGTCTTCAATTTCTTTAACTGACAACTATTAAGAAACACTTATACAATAGCCTCCTGGTTAAAAGAAATTTTTTATCAAGAAAACCATGATATAAAGCATTATAATTTTTAAAGGAAACCTGTAAATTGTAGTTATTTTGTTTGTTGGTCTTTTTCAATTAAGCCATGGCATTGTCAGTTTATTTTCTATTTGTGAGTTTGAGTGTCCATCTTGTATCTTTTTCCTATTTTTTACCAGAGACATCAACATTTTTTTTTATTATTCATCAGCTTTCAGGTAATGCACTTCCCATTTTTATGTAGCAACATTCCGAGCCAGCAGCTCATATGAAAAATTAGTTTACATAAGGTACCAATCATTGTACATGGATTAATTTACCTACTTTATAAACCATATCACAGTAAAACATTAAATTTTGATTAACAGTATTAATGTACAGTCAAACGTCAAAGCCACATGAGCCAGACCCCAGGACTTAAAATGAATACTTGCACGAAACTCATTTCAAAATTTAAGCATTTATTGAGTATAATTCATAATTATATCTTATAAGATAGTGAGCAATCACTGATCTATAAAGGAGGCGAAGAAACAATACATTATGAAACTGGATAACCCTAGGCTGGTCCTCTACCTTGCAACATACGGGTATCTCAGATATATCTGTCAGAGCAAAACAGATAAAAGACAGAGAACCAGTCTAGATACCCCCACAACACTTACCAAAGAATAAATCATTGATAATCACAGGACTGTTCTATGTTCGTTTGGAATTTCAACCAAAGATGAAGAACAGTATCTTTCTCCATTGTATTCACTGTATTGGCTACATTAACTACACAAATGTCCCTACAAACAACGTTAGATTGCTTGGTGCTCTACGAAACCTCTTTCTAAATTATTAATATCAATTTTAACAGCAATCAAAGCTGGGCTTCAAAGTTATTGTGAAGCTACTCATTCTGGAGGTGGCTCGAATCAGATGTGGATAATTAAAAATTCCAAAGACCTTTTAGAGCACATCAATCTAAGACTCTGGCAATAGAATTCCAAGTGTTGAAGTTGAAATAGTCCTTTCGTTAAATTTACAGACGCCAGCACGAGTTGGTTGACAGTTATGACAATTGGATGACAGATGACAACGGATATATATATAAGAAGATGTGGTATGAGTGCCAATAAGACAACTCTCCATCACAGTCACAATTTATAAAAGTAAACCATTATAGGTCAAAGAGCCTTGGCTCACACCGAACAGCAAGCTATAAAAGGCAGCAAACATGACGTGTAAAACAATTCAAACGGGAAAACAAACGGTCTAATCTATATAAAAAAAAACGAGAGAAACACTTATGAACCACATCAACAAACGGCAACTACTGAACATTATGACATGTTCCTATTATTATACTTCACGTAAAAATGCAATATTTTGATTGGCTTATACGAGGGTGTTAATTTACTCTGTTCTATGGTAAATACTCTATTACCCTTCACGGAGACGCTTGATCAAGTGTGCGATTTATTAAATACGGATGGTTGTTATGTACAAGACGTCATAGTTTATTACTTTGAATTTGAAATTTAATCGACAGTAATAACAGAACATTCAGTATAATAAATTAAATAACACATATCTGAGAGGGTGATAGAGCAGATTGTTACCCCTCGAAAAGACATTGTCAACCTTGGCTTCGCCTCAGTTGACAATGTTTTCTCGGGGTAACAATCTGCTCTATCACCCTCTCAGCTATGTGTTATTTATATATTGTCGTATCTACAGTCCCTTTCCCTTTTCCTCAAATGTAACCTACTGAATTAGACATATCACTGGGTTTGTACTAATATAAGCAACACGACGAGTGTCACGTGTGGAGCAGGCTCTGCTTACTCTTCCGGAGCACCGTGGCCTAGCTGAGATCAACCCCAGTTTTAGTGGGATTTATGTTTGGCAGTTTTGTTTTTTATGTTGTTTTTTGTGTACTGCTGTATGTTTGTACTTTGTTTTACCCATGGCGTTGTCAGTTTATTTTCGACTAGTGGGTTTGAATATTCCTTTGGTATCCTTCGCCTTTTATTTTTCAGCGCGGCTAAATGAGGCGGAAAATCATCAAGCACCAACACTGAAATGTTATGTTGATACAGAGCAAATGTCCTGTAGACAAAGCGCACTTGACATGTCCACTTTAAACTAGACATAAATACGATACCTGAAGAATCGGATGCAAAATACTTGAAAAAAAAGATTGGGGAAAAAACGAGAATGCCGAGAAATGTATGTCACATTATAAGC